ATTGCTTAAAAATGATCTCTCATCAGACTGATTTTTCAAGATTTGCCTTAAAAGGGGAACAGCCTGTGAGACAACATTTGATCAGTTTTGATCCTTTATCTTTCTATTAAAATAATCGTTTCAGTAAAAGGCAAAGATTCTATCTATTTAGAGCTCTTTAAAAACTATTCATTTGTTCAATGATGGATACAATGATACACAAACGTCTTCAAATATTTATTGAAGTCATAACACAGAAAACTCAATTGTGGTGAAAGTTTCAACATTTTACACAACAGAAATTTTCACTCACTCTGATATTTTAGAGTCTTCAGGTCTTTCTTGGCCTTTAATTGGCTCCAGAAATGAAACTAGATCAGGCTTTTTCTCTCAACAATCAGTTTCATCAAACAGTTCTGCTTTAGATTACATAAAATAGGTCGATAAAGGCAGTCTAATGGCAACATTATTGTTTTTACACCCATAAGTCACATATTTGCACCATATGATGTGAAACAGAACTAAGCATCGGCTGAATTTATATTTTTCATGCATAAAACATAAAAAAACAAACTAAACAAAAAATCTGAACATTTCACTTGTTTGTTGCTTGCAAATAAAAAAACTAAGCATTCATGGATTTAAGCAGAAGTTATTTTCAAACATAGAATTTGGGCAGCCAAAAGTGGAAAGCTGTCAAAAAACAGTTCAGGGTCAATCTACGCTGTACCAACAGGAAAACGAATGAGCAGAACATCAATGTTTTCTAAATAAAGTCAAAGTAGATTTTCCTAAATGACCATTATGACACAGTCAGTCCAGCGAAGACAAAACAACTTTGGTGACTATATGCAGATATACTGTAGTGGCTGTGGGTTTGATGCTAAAATCATCCTACCACATGTCAAGATATCCCTGGGCAAGGCACTTAACCTCAAACTGCCTCTTGTTTATGAGTGAGATTAGGTGTTTGCGCACAGTGTAGAACTCTAAGTGTAAAATATGAATAAATTCAGTCCATTTACCACATGAATGTGGATCTACTTCACATTCCTGTTACTTTTAAATGCATAATAATGTCCTGAACCCATGCTAAAGGCATAGGCAGGATTTCTGTAAAACACACGCCTGATATGCAGATTACAGATGAAGTGAATCAGATCACCTTTAACCTTTAACCAGTTTACTTGGTCAAGTGTTTAGTTTAAGCACCAAAGTTAGTTGCAGCAGTAAAACATTTATGCTGAAAATAAATGGAATACAATTTCAAGACATTTCAACTCTAAACATCATTTCATACTTCTCTGATTCTGAAAAATGCAACAGTCAAACGTTTTTTTCTTTGCGTCGAGGATTGAATCTGTAAATGTGATAAAATCCTTGTGCAGCTGTGGTTACATAAATTGAACAGAGAGGAAAAAAAGGATAAAAGGAATAAGAAATAGCAAAATGTAAAGGCAGAGCACTTAAATAAAATATAACAATCAACAGTTTTTTAAAAGAGCATGCATTAAAAGGCAAAAATATATCAAACATGAATATTAAACTTGTAATAAAATCAAGCTTTAGTTACATTTTCCACCTCAAGGAGACGTTAAAACACAAAACTTAACTTCCATAAGATAATACTGATTCCTGTTCTTTTCTGTTTCTTTTACAATATTATGGTCTGTCCCACCTTAACTGACATTACATCTACAGTTTACCAATAACATACCTGCAGCTGTACAATGTAAATACTGTAGTTAATATAATAAAGTTAACACAGACGCACTTTGTGCTGCAGTAACAAAGCATTTACAACAAACCGAAAGTTAACACCTGATTCACAGGTGTGTTTTAAGGCGCCTCCAAAAAACACATTCGCTGGTTGTCAGATCCTGTTTAGCTATCGTACATTTTCCCTTTTTCACACTTAAATCCATAAACCGTTTAAGCGAGCAGAGCTCATAGTTTCCCTGAACCCATGTTAGATTAGGACTAATCAACTTAAAGTTTTAAACAAACTTGAGGGTTAGATGCATCAAAACCCATCAAAGAAAACCGTTTGACGTGAAATAGAAACTTTCTCACCAGTGTTAACGGCTCCTTCGGAGTGTAAAAAAACTAGTCGGTAAGATCCACACTGTCAGGCATGTTTTGCTCAAAGCTGTTGTCTTCTCCCCAGATGAAGCAAATTTTCCACTTTGCAAATTTATTTTAAAAAAAAAGTCTAAGCTCTGCAGTTTAAGAGTTGTCTCCATGTTTTTAGTGTCCAAGATTTTCTTTTTTGTGAGCATATAAAGAACCAGCTAGCTCATAATAAAACATGGATTAGCCTGTCTCTGTCCAACATTTTAGATTTAAATACTTTAATAAAACTTTTGCATGCTCAGTGTGCATTATCTAGAAAAAGGCATCAGCTTATCACAAAACTTAGATTATAAAGTAATATTAAACTTCATAAGGAGTGACTAAACTGCCTGTATCTTCAAGTGAACCTTGGGGGTTTTAGCAGTCATCCTTTAGAGTCAAACTCCTTTGCTATTTCTTTACAGTAACATAAACTTTGTGTTTAATAAGACAGTAGCATGGAAATTTCCAGCAGTGCTCAGCGAGGCTTAAAACCAAAGAGGCAACCTCGGAGCGGAGTCACATCACCGGAACGAAGAGAGATCGAGGTACAAGAAAACTTGACAACTAATCAGGCCCAATTTAAGGCCGATAAGAACGTCTACATTCATTCGCTGTAGCAGACATCACAGCATCGCATCCGTATGTCACGTTAATGTTGTCCTGCAGTTTTCCTGTCTCCAAAAAGCATAAAGTTAAAACTCTGATTGCTACATCTTTGAAACTTTGTGGAAATATGAATGTAGTCGTCACCTTTATATACCAATATGATATATGAAATACAAAATGATAGAAATACTAAATACTCCTATTTTTGTGAATTTGATCTTTTTTCATTTTCTTTTCTCCTCTTTGTCTAAGAACATATTATATAAGAATTATCTTCTTTCTGCTCCTATTTGTTCATATACATCTTATGTAAATAAATTTATAATTATAAATTCAACAAATGCATGAACAGTGAAACATCTGTTTATTTATTCAGGTATTTATTTATCTCATTATTTAAAGCTTTTGAGAGCATTTTCTCAGTTAGCCTTTCCCATTACAGTCAAACTATGAGTCTTACAGTGCAGCAAATATACCAAGAGAAAATTATTCTAAGTAATTCTGCCTTAGGTTTTTCTGTGTTTTTTTATTTATAACTTGAATAATTTAACAGCATACTTAATGTATGAACTTCCATATCTCCACTTTAACTTAAATTACTACATGCATGTATAACTATTTACCAAGATCTTTGTTATTAGAATTCTATTATTGACACGATCTTAAATAGCAGAAATCTCCTTAACAACACAAACAGGTTGTTCAAACAGAGTTCACTGCTAGCTTTTAAGTCATATTTTTATAAGAATAAAAAACAGATCCATCTACAGGTCAAACAAGGAGAACAACTTATTCTGTGATGGGATGAGTTTCAGTGTTCATCAGTATGCAGCAGGATGCTACAAGTAGATGTTTGGAGACAGGGATACTGCTGGGATTAAAGTGGGAGCTCCTGGGTTTGGGTTTTATGCTAGTTGCATGCTAATCTTTTGCACCAACAGGTAAGCAGAGGAAATTAAAATGGGCAATGCAGATTATTTAAAAAAAATTGTGACAGTGCTAGAAAAAGTCAAATATTACAAGCTTTTTAATATCTGATGCAAAAGAAATCTGGTTGTGGTCAGAAGAATATGTATTATAGGTTTGATGGGAACATATTTTGTATTTACATGTGCATAAAACTGTGGAGTATATCTTAAAGCAATGAAACGTGCACTAAGATTCTACACAATAAATTTATGAAGGTAAAAAAATGCTGGATGCAAAAGACTACAGTGAAAAAACACACTGTACTTAGAAAAAGCTAGGTAACTTTTTCTACATAGAAATTCTTTGTATATTTCACTAAATTAAATCAAAGTTACTAAGAAGAACAAAGTCAAATAAATTTTACTGCAAAATTTCTCTTGTCAACAAAATGTACTTTTGTTTTGCTGGTAAATTTTACAAAGATGCACAGAGACATACAACCGTGCACACAGAGACATACAACCGTGCACACACAAGGAGAATGTAAAGATGCCAATTAACAGTCATGTTTCTGCACTGTGGGAGGAAGCCGGAGTACCCGGAGAGAATCCAAATGCATGGGAAGAGTATGCAAACTCAATGCAGAAAGACCCTGGACCAAGGATCAAACACAGAACCTAATTGCTGCAAGGCAACAGTGCTACAAACTGCACCACCCTGCAGCCAAAAAGTAAACAATATTTTCTATTTCTGGCCTAAACATGGTCAGACGAGGAAAATAGCTAACCTGACTCCGCCAGATGGATTTGCTCCGTATATCCATCTGGAAACCTTTCGTAGAAGTAATTTTGGGAAGGGGCGAAAATACTGGTTAGCTGATTGGCCTATGTTGGTGATAGACGGGTCAAATAAACCAATCAGATCAATGAAGCATATGACGTACTAACAGAGCGACGACAAAGAGGAGCCAATTGATAGATCAAACTCTTGCCCAAACCAGTCGGGAGAAGAGCAAAAACATCTTTTCCTCTGAGAAAAGCCTCCAGAGCAGTGTTTTGCTCTTCTTTCAGTGAAGAAATACTCTGTAATTCCGATAAAACTTGCTCGATAGCCACGCTAACGCTAGTTTCATCGGCTGAAGCCTCCATGTTCTTTAGACTGAACTGTCGCGCTTCTTGTTGCGTCACACCTCAACCCGCCTCAAAGCCAACGCTGATTGGACGTTCGTTTGGTGAACGGCTCCAAATTTTCTTCAACGGAGAGTCTCCAGACTGATTAGCGAGTGAAATCTTGAAAGCTCGCGAGATCAGGACGGTTTCACAAGGCTAGAAAATAGCACCAAGTTTACTCCTAATATCCGAGTACTTAGTACTTGCATCTGTTAATCTGGGAACTGGTTTGTTAATACTATTGGGTAAGATGAAATAAATGTTCTTGCATGTTGATGGATATAGATTTAAAAATTAATTGTATGTAACACATTACATAAAAGGTGTCATTTTGAAGTAAAAGCACTTACATGGCAATTTGCAGTAATTTTTACATAAAAAACCGAGGTAATGTTTACAGAACCAACAAGTCCCATTATTCAGTGTATAGAGGCAAAAAGTTGTTAGGAACGGCAACATTTCAAAATAAAACCCAGGAGCTCGACCATTAAATGAATCAATAAATAAAAGATCAAAGAGATTCCCCCCCTTTTTGCCCGTGTCAGTTATTGCAAACAAAGAATGTCACAGAATTAAATATCTCTGTTGGATTGACTGACACGTCTCTGTGAGGGAGTCGGGTCACTGCCCCGCAGCTCTGGCTGCTCTCTGCTCCAGCATCGATCGTACAGCAGGAGACAACATGGCGGGGGACACGGCCGGGGTGAAAGGTCGTAAAGGATAGTTTGCCTGTTTTCCTGGGAAATAGATACACTGGAAGTATTTCTGGCCTAAGAGAAAAGAAAGTGAAAATTAATGCGGGTTTAATGCAGTAAGCTGATTTATCAATGATCCATCCCAAAGTACTTTCACTCTGACTGAGGATGTGAATGATCAGAAAAAACAGATGTTGTTTTTCTTATTTTTTTATTTGAAAATAACTGATGAAGGTCAGATTTCAACAACATAACTTAAAATTTAGGAAGTAATTTGTTCTGCAGAACTAAATTTAATCCAGGTTTGACTTTGAGATGAGTCCATCCACAGTGTTAAATACTAAGAACACAACCTTCTGTTTTGTCACATGCTGTAGGTTTCAAATAAATCTTCCTGTAAGCACTTTCTCATTTGTGTTGAATAATCCAGTTTATTTGATCTGTCTAAATACAAGATATTTGGAACTGAAGGTGACTAAATGCATTTCAGCCTTTATATAAAAAAAGAAATGGTGTATACCTTTTAATCAGCACTGATTGATTAATAGGATATTCATGGATATATATTCATCTATGGATAAAATAAAAATAAAATACCAGACTAACTGACACATTAATCTGTTTATTAATAATATCCCTTATTGGTATATAAATCACTATGGTACAGTTGATTTATTATAATGAAGAGATGTGAGTTAATGCTGCACCAAAACACCTTCTATTTTTTAATAAAGTATGCAAATATGCAGTGTTGACCTTTGAACTGTGATGACATCACATTTCAGCATCTCTTACTTGGTTTCTTCTTTTCTGTCCCATCTGTGACACTGTCCTCAGTCCCAGGGTTTTCTGCAACAAATTAGAGTGTAATAAACTGAGATTAAAGAATTATATTTTAATCTGTTGAGAGACAGGAAAAGAGAAGTGAGTGTATACATGCAAGTTATCAGCAGAAAGAGAAAAGGCAGATTTTTTGTTTCCTAAATTATTATCTTTTCATGTGAAATACATAGTTTATTTATATCTCTTGTTTCTCTTATCCTATGTCTTATCTTATGTATCTTATAATTATTTTTCCCACCAATGAGGTTAAAAACTTCTGGGCAATTACAGAAACTTTGGAGAAAGGAAATAAGGAACAGCAAATGCGGGAAGTTGATCTATTGTCAAACCGATATGTTTTACGTAATAAATGTTTAGCACAGAATGATTTATTTTTAACTCCAGGATAGATTTGATCAGTTATTTAAAAAAAAAATTCTCCACTCAAACTGTTAGTTAACTGGGTAGTAGAAAAGCAACATGTTTTCTATCCTTTAAAGTGTAAATGGATTTTAAAAATAGAACTTTTTTCATTTACGTTTAAGCAATCATTATTTTTACATAGAAGAAACATTTTTATAGGACTTGAATGACTATCACTGAAAGAATAATGAACAAATATAGCCGGACCCACCTGCTGGCTAATCCGGACCCAACCTGATTTAAAACATTTATAAATTACTGCATGTTGTCACAAGACTAACTTCACTTGCGCCGCTTCTCCTGTTAATATGGTAAAGCCCTCTGGAGCATCTGGCACCAGGCTATACGTGATAAAACCAGCCAATGAGCTGCTGTCAGTCTGGGTTGCTGCTGCTAGCTACTTTTAGACACAGCAGGCAAACCTGGGGCAAGCCGGGCGATGGGAAAGAAGGAGAAGATGATGCGAAAAAGGAAGCAAAGAAAGTGTGAACTGCTGGAAGAACTGCGGTAAACTTGTGAAAGAAAAGTGAAATGGCGTGCTCAAAGATGACCCTGCATATTTAGAGTATGTTTGTCTCAACCTGCTGCCGTGAAGCAGGATTCTCCACCATGAACAGAATCAAAAATAAATATAGATCTAGGCTCACGAATGAGCACCTTGATATGTGCTTGAGAATGGCTTAGACTCCAATCAAACCCAGGTTTAAAGCCTTGCAGATCAGCCTGAAGCCCACTGCTCAAATTAAGCCATAAAAAAAGGGAAAAAAGCAGTTAGTTCAGGTGTTTTATAAAAATAAGTGAATAAGGAAATTGTCGATATACCAAACTGAACGATCGTTGTTCTCTACTTCAAAAACAATTTTGATTTTAAAATGGAAAAATTTTCTTTTTCTTTCTATTTTTTTATTTAAACATTTGATGTCCAACATGGATGCAGAAACACCTGCATTTTATTTCAATGTTAAATTCTGTTTAAAGTAATAGATTATGATTTAAAATGTCTCCGGACCTTTACTGGTTGTTGACTTTCTTTATTAGGACCTAAATTATTTTTAACAGGTTACCCCTGCTTTAGGTAACCTGTTTCGTCATATATTTTGTATTATATATTATATTTGCATTATATTTTATTTATATTTGCTGTTATTATCATTATGGAGTAAACCATGGTTATCAAGAATAGGAATATTTATCTAGTATCTTATTACTGAAGGTCATATTCTAGTAATTAATTAAGTCAACAGGTTTCTTAGGACATTGTAAGTAATATAGTATTTAAAAAGTCTTAAAGATACACATCCTGACCTATACGTGAAAAGTTACATGCAAAACTGTTCTGAACAAATCTCTTCAGTTCTCACAAAGCTAAAATTAAGTGCATAGCCCAGATTTTACAATAATTTGAAGTTGTAGATACTGAGAAACTATAATCCTTTAAAACTTTAATAACAGCAGCACCTTTGACGGCAGCAAGGTGTCAGATATCGTCCTGGATTTGTTGTAATGGAACTGCAATTTCACCCTATTGGTGTGCTGCACCAGACTGGCTGAAAAATCAATATCATACCATTCATACCATTTTAAATTGAAAGTATTAATGTCCTCACTCTTTTAAGAGGGAGACTTTAAAGCACTTTATCATGAATTCTGCTCTGATTTTAGCTGCTAATATCAAACAGATGTGAAAAACAGGAGGTGGAGTGTCAGAAATGAAAAAGTGTGGGGACACTGGGGCCAGTGTTGATAATCCACTGAATGAGTCATTATGAACAGGAGGCTAACACCCCAAATAAATGAGTTTTCATTTTTAATCTGTCCAGTTATTGATGCTATAAAATACAAATCTCTTTAAATATTGCAAGACACTTAAATATGTGGATAATCGCATCTCAATTAGATAATCTCATTAAATCCTCTAATGTGCTGCCATTCATGTTATTATCTCCTCATACTGATTCAGTCAGTGGAAATATGGTGAAAACATACTTTATACCTCAGACCTCACAGGAAGGAGCATCTTTCCCATTCGCTATTAACGAAGCATACAAATAAAATAATCATTGTGCAAAACTGCCACATTGGTCATGTTGGTAAAGATTAAATACATAAAACTGAACAAATATAATCTGGATGATGTTTTCTTTTATTACAGGAGATTTAATCCCTATCAGATGGAGAACTTTAATATCAAAGTGGTCATAGACTTTTCATTCTTACTCTGAAGGCGTATAACATACATGTATAATGAGAAACTGCAAACTCCAAACTGTATCTCTCTGGAATGTCTTTGGTTTCTCATAAGTTTTTTCTTAATGCTGATACGATTTTTCTCTATGCATCTTGTACTGAGAAGTTCTGAAATGACCAGTGATTGTCCTAAATGTCCTTCTGTATGAAACTTTTTTCAGCATAGAAATAGCTAATGATAATTTAGTGTCATTGGGATAATTTGATGAATGTCACTTAATTAAGAAACACCATATGAATAAGAGAAAATGCTGAAAAATCATGAAACTGACAAACAACTGATGGATAAAGCATTAAGTTAGTGATAAAATTGTTGGTCATTAAGCTTGACAGAAAAAGTGCTTCCATCATCGTTTTCACCTGAAGCCCACTGGAAGTTTTAGCTAAAAGTCAACCCACCTGCACAGAAATTGTTTTTATTTTTTAATGAACAGCTGAAGAGTGTTTGCATACTGAGGTTTTAATTGCCTATTTGTCTTGGTGAAGGAGAGAAGTGCTGACTGATATGTGGAAGGCTTAAGGCCAATTTATGCTTCTGACACATAGCCTATACAACCGTCAAATCTGTCTCTGTGCGCGACCACACCCCCCGGTTCTGCAACCATCGTTGCGCACGTCAAAAAAATCCTGACTACGCGTCGGACAGTCGAAAACCTGCGCAGACCTCAAGCGGAAGTTCGCAGACAAAAAGCAGCAGTGATTGGTCCTTGGTATGCCTTTCGGGCTGTCTGTGTGGTCGTCCTTCTTGATTCGATGCCGGGGCACGCCATTTTTAAAAACCGAGGAACAACTACAATGGACAACTACGACGAAAGGTTAATCAAAGGAGGTTCGGAACTACAACAACTTGTACGATGCCTCAGAACCTGTTCCTCTTTGATGTCTAACATTTCTAGATCCATCTTCATGACCGTGATATCTTTCAGACGCGCTATTGTTGTTTTGGAAGATAAACACTCCCGCTGGCACCGCCAAAGTTCTCATGACCATCCACCGAAGTTCTCGCAAGTTCTCAAATAGGCTCCCCCTTGCACTTTGGCACAAAACTGCTGTGCGTCCCTAGCAATTCCAGACAGACGGTGCAGAAGTATACCAGCAAAACTGGTTCGCGACCAGACCTAAGCGACATTTGGTGTGTGAAGTTGTAGAAGTACAATCTGCCCTTTAGTCCTCAATGTTATCCTGGCTTTGAATCCTAAATGCTAAGACATTTGTTGCATCTTTTGTCTCTCTCTCTGTTATATGTCCTGTCATTCTATTAACAAATAAAGGCTACTAATATCACAAAACTTAACAATAATCAATTTTTGAGGAAATGAAACTCTCAGTGCCTAATTTCTGTGACTGTTTCCAACGCTTATTAGGGAATCTTGGCCTAATCCTAATTATCACACTGCTACAGATATAAGACATAAGTCCATTTTTTCTTTCATTTGGGCTCCATCATGGTACCATTACAGCATTTCAAACAAGACTAAGTCTGAATTCTGACCAAGTCATAGCAACACCTTGATTATTGTAAGTTTTGTCTTTTTAGGCCATTTTATTGGAAATTTCCCAAACTGGAAATCCTCAAATGAGGTTAGTGTTAGTCTAAAAAGTTGCAAAGTGCACACATCCTGTGGCTGCAAATCAAACCAAATTATCAGTGCTTATTTGCTCCATCGACTGTTTGAGCTGCTAATTTGTTTTAAAAAGTGCTTTGCATCATTAGCCTGGGTGCCATTCCGAACTTAGTCCCGCCCACAAAGTTTGAGGTCGGGGAAGTTCGGTCTGGCTCTGCTCCATAGTAGCGCGAGTATTATCGCCCACTGTCAGGTAATCCAATCAAATTGTCAGGGCGGGCTTTATACGATGATGGACAGATGACCAACAGTAACGTAATCAACCACGTGACCAATGCGCGCTTGGGTATTGTCAAGTTTTTGGCCTCTACAAACCACCTTGCCTTCTGCCCAAACTTGAAAAGGGCTTGCTCCCATCAAAGAGACCCAGGACCAACTCATCTCAGTGTCATCTTTTTATTTCTCTTTTCACTTTTTTCTTTAAATCACTTCACTCTCAAAGACAAGACAACCAAGCAGGTTGAAAACCTACAAACAAACAAAACAAAACACAATGAATTAATAAGTTTCCAGTCAATGTTTTTTACTTTTAAGTTATCAATAAATAAGCAAAATAAAGTTAATTCCAAATGCACAAATCCATCTTTGTAAAGCCTGCTAGGTCCTCTGAATGCAGGTTTAATGTTTTAAAGTTCATTTCCTACCAGTGGTGTCTCTGCAGGAGCTTGAAGATGAGGTCTTTGTCTGTAGAGATTGCTCAGAACACAGGTGTGTTGAGTTACCTTATAGGCT